ACATTGGCTTTTCAATTAAAGTGGAAAAGCAGTTATTTTGGAAGATATGAATTTTACAGTATAGCCACACACACCGACCAATACCTCCATTTTGACTCACACCACCATGGAACATAAACTAGGCATCATCAGAACCCACCAGACATGAGCATAAACCCTGCCTACCACCAACAGAGGGAAGGTGAGAAAACAGGGATATATCAGGAAAGACCAGAAGAACTGTGGTTATTAAAAAGAAAACACACAAAGCTTGAACTTTTTTGTGAAACAATATTTATTGGTATATCTGGTTCTCTTTTGATCTTATGATTCTACATCTTTTACAGACCAGAACTATGTTTGCCAAGGAATTTCCTTCAACTAATGACTCCAGGCCTCAACTCCATCCCTTCAATGTATCTTCAACTGAAAGCCAATGTGCTCTTTCAGGCGTTGCAGTGTACATGGAATTTGTGTTCGACAGTATCTACCTAATCCTTGTATTCCCACTTTCTGCCATTGTCCTCTCTTTGGGCTTTAAGGAGTGGAAACATTCCACATCCAAGGTCATGAGTCATTCTGACTTCTTTACCTACAACATGGCCGCTGTGGAACTGTTTGGAGTTTTTGGAGCTGCTGTCAGTATTTACTCCACCATCATGAATTTGCCTGCCATTAATTATGTGGGAACGTATATTTCCTCTTTTCCATGGAATGCACAGATGTTTATACCAATTCTGATCTGTTTTGAAAGATACTTAGCAGTGGTTCGACCCCTTACCTATATGAAGCTTAGGCAGGCAACCGGGACCCGTATCAGAAACATTATCATTACAATCATTTGGCTGCAGGGCGTTGGGTTGGCAAGTGGAATTGCTATCTACAAACAACACCGTGAGTTTGCCATTTTACCCGTCTCTCTAATGGCAATTTGTTTAATCGTTGTAAGTTTTTGCAGCATTTCAATTCTCTGTGTTTTGATTCGTCATCCGCCAGGAAAAAATGTTAAAGACGGGAGGCACATGGATAAAGCTAGAAGAAGGGCTTTCAGAATCATTCTGATAATTACGGGAGTTTTGACTTTCAGATTTGGAGGAAATATGATTTCCTACACAATGATGGCATTCCCTATAAAAGGTGTTATGTGTATTGCACCAGTAGCAGGATCATATACAAATCTGCCCAGCTCTATGGTGCTACCGCTGCTTTACCTACACAGAAAAATTAAGGCAAAATAGCAGCAAAATACCTAAATAATAATGCAGTAGTCAACCACAACAGGCTAAATGTGGTCCAAGTTGTCAAACAATATTTATAAACCATTCAAACTATTAAACAATTTATTATGTTCAATTTATTTAATCATATAAAGTCATCATTATTTTTGTGAGTGTACAAACTGACAGGAGGTTGCTCTCTTCAGGATAAGTTAGTTGAGTCAGGTGGTGCCGCCCATATTATGGTTTCAGTGCTTTGTTTCTTCTAGATATGAATATAAAATGTATATTTATCAAAGTAGATTTTATTTAGGGCCTTTTTTTGCTTTATTTGTTTCTTTGATTTGACGGAATTGTGACGATGTCTAAAGAGAGAAAATTACACTTTTTTTTGCTTTTACTAGGCAAATAATTTTTATGATCATGTTACCTTCTTCTTTTTCCATCCGACGTTGGTAGAAAAAAATTACAAATACAGCTGCTGTAATAAGGGATCACACTCTTATTCATGAGATAACAAAGGCCCCAGGCTTTCGTAGTACATGTGCTTGTCCTGTTTTACCACCCAAACACACACAAAACACTGGTGCCATTTTAATTTGTCGGCAGAGGGGACTGACTGCTGTAAAAACTCTAAATTTCCCATATGGTTCGAAATTGGGTCCTCATTCAGAACTCTCAATTAAAGGTGTTTAAAGCTTTGTTTGTCTGTAGCTTGTCTGTAAATATGTCTAGTTTATAATTTGTAATGGGTGTCTCTACTGCCTTTTATTGTAAAGCTTTCTAAATCAAAATGTACATAATAACTGGTTTATAAATCAACAAAAACTAATTGTTTGATAGCTATATTTCTTTTTTGAATGATGTTTGTCTATCTTAAGCAGACAAATTTGCTCACCTAAACCCACCATCACAAATATTTCTATACCCATACATACACTGGCACAATAAAACAAAATGGGTAAAAGTTCATTGAAGCACATGTTCCTCTTCCATTAATTTAGTCTGCTTATTAGTTTTTCACATTGTTGCTTGATCCAGTTCTTTTTGAGGTATCTTCTATTACTATTTATAAATCTAACTGGAAAAATCAGATCGGCTAGCTTCTCTATGCTGAAAACGTAAAATGCAGAAAATGTTACTGAAAACGTGATTATTTCATTGTTAAATCAAATAGTCATGCTTTGTGTAAGTTTCATCTTAATAAATCAATGAAAGAAACTGTAAACACTCTAAATTTTGTAAAAGTCCAAAAATGATGTTAACATTTTTTCATCTGCAGGAATAAAATGTGCTGAAGAATGACATGCCTATATTTTATTCATACAATAAGCTTTAGAGCTTAACCTCTTAAAACCCACCTTATTTTGGGTAATCCTCACCTATTTTGCGTACCAAAATGGAAAAGCATAACCTATGAACTGTAAACCCAAATTACATGTGCTATACATTATTTATTCTGAATATATAAATAAAAATTGGCAACACAGACAAGGCTGCATCAGTTCAAACATGGCATAAGATGTACCATTCTATTTATTATTCCTGTAGTTATATTCAAAGTTATATTAACTTAATTTACATATTCCCATAAAAGAGAATATGGCTCATTTTCAAAGTCTACAAGGTTTGACAAAATTCAAATGGCCTGTAAATATTGACAGGGTGTTTATCTAATAAGGCAGCACTACAACATTTATATGGAATATCCCTAAATCATTGTTCACCTTCCAATATCTCAGGAAGAGATACCATGCAAGGATATTTTGTTTGAGAGATAAGTATTTAAGGATGAAGAAAGAATAAAAATTAATAATACAAAATGTTCTGGGACCAGGGTTGTACTTTTAAAAATACAGCTCTTAAAAATGAAAAAAAAAAAAAAAATCACCTTAGAACTCAAATGCAGTAAAAATCAAAGACACAAAGATTCCAAAAGATAAAAAATAAAATCGATTAACAACTGCTTATTCTCTAATGTAAGTAAAGCAGAGCTGCAGTCAGCCATGCCCACGATTAATCAAAATGCAAATCAAACCACACATCATGGCCTACCTGCACACAATAGTCTTAAAATAAACAGAACAGGTAAATGATTTCAATATATTCAAAATACAATGGCAATTACGTTTTAAGAAAAGAAGATTCAGCCATCAATTTGCCAATGCTATTTTTTAATCTAACACTAAAGAAAGCTGATGTATAGGGACACTTGCTATCCTACAGTTTTCTTTTCAAATATGTTCACCCTAGACCAGTATTTTTTAGGGGGTTTGGGATATTATTTTTTCTTTTGTAAAACTGAGGTCCTGGAGTGATTTTAGAGGGTGTTTGCTTGAGGACAAAGTTTACACTGTTGATGCAAAATATCACTAATTTAAAATTTTATCTACTTACTTAAACTGGCAGTGTGCAGCCTTAAAATATGCCTGGCACTGCAGCTGTATGATAGCAACTTTGTTAGTCAGGGTTCCTGCTGGCCTCTTGTAGTTGTACTCTTCTCCCTAATGTGGCTCTACCTTTCTTATACCTCATTCAAAATAGTTAGGTATCCTGAACTATTTTTTGTATTTATGCTGCCAAAGGGTTAACCTGCTGGAGGACTCAAGGATAAAATTTCATTATTCTGCTTCATTCCAGCTCTATTCTCGCATTCTGCAGTATTTGTTTGTTCCAACTTATGTTCTCTCTGCTTTTTCTTGTTATGGTAGCTTCATCTGGTCTGTAACTATTAGACTGTAACTATTAGACTGTGACTGTCACTAGTTCTTTTGATTTTACTGTGCCAAACTGTGTGTGCTTTCTTTCATCCTCTGACATGGGAACTGGCTTGGAGCTCATCTGCCTGGCTGGGCCTTTCCTGGGCAGGGCTGCCTGTGGAGCTGGTTAACAGTCATCTTTTACATCTGCTTCTTTCTGGATGTCTGTTTCTGTCTCCCTGAACCCCTTTCAGCCTCGGCAGAAGGCTGCTCATACTGAGCCTGATTCTGCTGGAGGTTACTTATTGTTTAAAGGGAACTTTTTCTGTAAAATGCCTTGAGATGACATGAGTTGGGAAATGGGGGCTATAAAAATTAACTGAATTAATTTAATTCTGACAATCTCTGGATAGTAAAGGCAGCAGTCTAAGCAGAGAATCCTAGACTTCCCCCTCAAGAGACACCTGCTTCAGCTCCGTTGGCGAAAGCTAGGCCTGCTTAAGGACATAGTGTCCCTTCAGCAAGTCCTGGGCCTCCTCACGCAGAGGGTCGTGCCTTGAGCCCCTCTTTATTTTAAAGTTAATAACGATCTGTCATTCAGTGATGTGCTTAGAAAATAACTGCAACAAAGACAATGATAATATAGACTAAATATTACTAACAATTGTTTAACATGTTGTTGATAATTGTACTAAAAGAAAAAATTCTGTTCCAGTAGCCTACATGGTTTAAAATGGGGATGTTTAGGAACCTGAATAAGGGAACTGGTAATGTAATAGAAATGTGATTTAAAATGTGACCAGAAGCTTTGTTTCTAATAATAATACTAACACAAAATATCATTATTATATCCTACAGACAATATATATATATATATATATATATATATATATATATATATATATATATATATATATATATATATATATATATATATATATATATATATATATATATATATATATATATATATATATATATATATATTTTTTTTTTTTTTTTTTTTTTCATGCAATCTGCTGTGAATTTAAGCAATGACCAATCAATGGGCTGCTGGTATGTACTGTAGGATTTAGATTTATGCAAAAACACTGACACATTTGTGCCAGTGTTTTTCTTTGTGTGTTGATTCCAGTGAAGCAATTCAGTTGGAGCTGAACGGGATAAAGGGTAGGTTTCCTTTTACTTGCTTTCCTGCTAAGGTTTATTTACTGCATTATCGAAATTTTCAACTATTTTTTTCATTGACATCTTTCAGAAAAAGAAAGAGATAGGTTTTTACCTGTATGTCTGAGTAGATTATTTAACTTAATAATAAAAATAAGTTTTTTAATAAAAATAAAAATTCTTGTTTTTGCACTACAAACATTTATTAAGAAACACGTGGGAATAACATGACACACTTATACAGCAGATAACAATGAAAGTGTCTGCCTGTCTTTGTTCAGTAAGTTCTTTAGCAATGAGGTCAGGGCACTTTAACTTAAACAAAAACATAAGACTTCACTAAAATGCTATCTCAAAGTTTATTTCTCTTAGAATGCTATTTCTATTGTTTTAAATGAGTCATTAATGATGCATCTTTAAAGCAGTTAAATATTTGGGTGTTCCTATTTATTGTTACAGTTTACTATTTCATTATTTATTATTATTTATAATAATATATAATTAATAATAATAATAATAATAATAATAATAATAATAAATTAATATTTATTACTTGGTTTTTCTTGAACTCATCCTCTAGGTTCTTCTGTAACTGTCATTACACTGTTAAGAACTTTATGTTTTAAATATTTACTAAAAAACAAAAGTTAATCTCTACCAAAATTAAAACGACATATTGTGCCGTGGATAAAAGATTTAAAGGAGCACTAAGCAAATTTTTACCACTTGCTGTGCTGTTTAGCCTTGTCTGTAGACCAACACAACACTACCTTTTTAAAAAATTTAATACCATTAAAGAATCATTAAATATTATTAAATTATTAAATTAAAGAATTATATGATCAATTCCTCCTGTGAAATTCAGATTGACTACACATTACTGTATATCTCTTGTAAAATAACCTACTACCCCCTTTATTGAATAAATATAAATATATATATATATATATATATATATAAAGAGAAAATAGAAAATCATGTTTGGTGTATCTAAATCGAATAAATGGAACAGAGAAAGACTTGAGGATAACACTGACAGATGGTGCGTAACATCTTACCATTGTTTTTTAAAATGGCTACGTTTACATGGACACAACTAATCGGATTGAAGGCCTGATCAGATCAAAAATGTTTCATGTAAACATGTCAGACTGAAGATTCTAATCCGATTCGGTCCGATCGGATCTAAATTTAATTCCGAATGAGAGAGGTGGTTTTTGCCGATCGCCATTCCGATTGGCGTCCATGTAAACACCCATTCGGATCTTAAGAGTAAAATAATCTTCACTGCGCATGTGTGCGACGTCAGCGTGACGTTTTTCCGCCTTGTCAACAACAGGAAACCACCGGTCGCTCTCGCTCTCGCTGTGAACAACATGGCGGGGGGAGTCTAGGAACGCCGACTTATACACTCAAGTTCATTTAAAGCTGCAGGAAGCAGGAATTTATCCTCCTCCTCTTCCTCTTTTCTCTCTCCACAGCCCACTCGCTCTCCCACGCCGGCTCAATCGCTCATTCTCTATTTCTCTCGTACATTTCGCTGCCAAGCGCTTTTTTCCTCCTCTCTCCTTTTTTCTTTCCGCTCGCTCCGAGCGCATCGTTTGTCAGGCCTCCCAAAAACCAGACGCAGACAGAACTGCCAAGTTTGGCAGGAAGTTCTGCGCATGCTTAAAAGATTTAATCTGATCCAACGCTTGGTACATGTATACACACGTCATGATCGGATCATTTCATTTAGTGTCCATGTAAACGGAGATTTTGAATTTCCGATCAACCAAGGTTTGGATCGGATCGGGGAAATTTTGCGCATGTAAACGTAGCTAGTGATACCTTTAGTTCTTCACAAAAAATTGTTAAATTGTTAATTGTTAAATCAGTTTTATATAAAATAAAGAATTTTCACATATCAGTCCTTTAAACTTGTTAATAGTTTTAAAATGAGAGTGATCTGGGCAATTAGGTAAACTAAACTGTGGATATCCTCTCTTTTTACAAAAGATTTGATAAGCAAACCTAAATACCATGATAGACATGACAAAAAGGGTATCATGATTTTTTTTATTATCGAAAATAATTATCGGTATTATCGGTTTTATGCAGTTGTTTCAAAAGTTACAGTCTCTTCAATAATTCATAGAAAATCTTTATTGGCAACCCAAAAACATTTTTTAATGTTTTCTCTGATATACTCCATTATCTTTTTTTTTTTTTAGTTTTTAAAGCACTAGTGGCTCGTTTTTCTGACAGTAGGACGACAGCAAGGGGGTTAGAGACATGCAACAAAAGACCACAGTTTGGATCCGAACCTAGGTCAGCCACATCGAGGACTAAGGCCTCCGTACATGGGACACCACATTATCTCTCTCTTACCCATGTTTCTGTTGGCGGATGTTGTTTTCTGCAAAAAGAAGCATGTTAGTTACTTTAAATCTGAATCTATCAAGTGTGTGACAGATTTTTGACTTTAATCCTAATTTGGCTGCTCACTTTTCCTGTTTTTTCTTCTTTTTCTCCTTTCATTCCCAAGACCTGATACATAAAAATGTCTGAGAACTCATCATTCCATGACCAACAAAGCTGTGGCGATTCTATAAATCAAGAGTTAATCGGTAACACATTTCTAATTTGCAAGTTTTTTGCCTTTGTACCTCTCTCCATCTTCATACTCTGCTTGGGTTACCAGCGATGGCGGCGTTCCTCCCAGTCAAGCCACTCTGATGTTTTCACCTACAATTCTGCCACATTGCAAGTCCTTTATGGATTGTCAGCCATCATTTACATAAGTGGCCATTATAGTGGTTTATTAAAAATGAAATTAGTGGGGAATCATGCAGTAAACATTCTTATTCCTGGAGAAATTAATCTTCACATCTTGACGTGTATGGATCAGTACCTGGCTGTTGTTCATCCCATCTTCTACATAAGGTCAAAGCAGCCTAGTGGGATCAGGATCAGAAATGCACTTATTGTCTGTGTTTGGCTGATTTGTTTTGGATGGGTTGGACTATTGTATTTTATGTACCCCAGTGTACCTTACGCTGCATATTTCAGTTTATTGGCTTTCTCTGTAATAAGTGTTTCTTTCTGCAGCATCTCTGTTCTTTGTGTTTTGATTCAACCAGGACCAGGTAAAGGGGGGGTGGAAAAAGATCAATCAAAATCAAAGAGGAGAGCTTTCCTGACCATCACAGCTATACTTGGAGCTCTTCTGATATATTTTTTGTTTATGACTGTGGCCCTGATTAGTACCAGTACAAATCTGCTCAGTCGTCAGGATGCATGTCTGTTTCTAATGTCTTCCTATATGGTTGGAATTCCCAGCAGTTTAGTTTTACCTCTTCTGTTTCTACGGAAAACAAAAAAACTTCAATGCTGCATATGCAGCAAACAGTGAAGATTAACTTAATGTATCTCCTGCTTAATGGCAAGATCATCTCTAAAAATGCTGTAGCCTGACCTAAATGTTGTCATCAATTTTGCAGATGAGTCAAGCAATTGATATGGGATTTTTTTTTTCTAGGCATATTTGGATTAAGGTGAAATCAATATTTAATGACTGTGTTTTCAGCATAGGATTACATTTGATTAGTTGACTATATTAATTAACTATGATATCTGATTTAGGATTTGTTTCTTAGAATTAAAGCAGATAATACCTTTAAAGTCTTAGGGAAGTCATACTTAAATGTGAAGTCATTCTGTCCTAAACATATATATAAATGTACTCTTTATCAGACGATATTGTCCCAAAAGTTAGAAAATGTTTATTTATCTGTGTTTTTTTTCTGTTATCTTATGCAGGCCAGTTAGTTATACGTCAGCCTGAACACCTAAATTCGTCCAATCATATACAGTATCAACGGTCATCTTTCAATCAAATTTTTTCAGTCATAGCATCTTGATTCTTATGTTGCAGCTAATATACGCAACGGTTGAAATAAGAACCATTTCCTTTCCCATTGAGTTCATCCCAGTGTTCACAGGGATGGACGTCTGTGTCTTCAGCAGGCGTAGAGCTAACAGAACTGGCAGCGTTGCGAGGCAAGGGCTCAAACATGTACGACTGTAAGCCTTCTACACTAAACCAAGCTTCTGCCGCCCTGGCGTCCTCTTCCACAACAACTTAGCAATTTAACAGCAGTTTAGTGCTACTTGGTCCCAATGGAACTTCCCATTGGGAACCTTCTAGCACTAAGTTGCTAACAGGTTAGCGAGATGCTTTTGACAAACCGGCCACAACCAAACTTGCTTGGGAACCTTCCGCCACAACAATCCCACCCCCTTGATAAACGACCAATCACATTCACTTTATTTACTCGTGTAAAGTTGTGCACCACTCAAGAGAATTCAGAAACGGTTGGAACAGATGCTTCCCTACGACTTTAAGAAGCTTCTTTAATTGAGCAAACTTCTTTTTAATCTTTTGTTGGTCAAAGATAATCTAACTGTAAATTACAGGTTTTTACTTTTTCTTTTCAGAAGATCATTAAAAAGGCATAAACAAATTAATCTGTATGTAATCAGTCTGGGAGATAAAAGCTTAAAAGGGTGTCCATCAAACTCCAAGCCCCGCCCACACCCCAAAGTGACAGGTGCCTCCTGTCACTTCTGCCAACTTTCATTATAGCCCTAACTTTTGCTACTTTTATTCAAACCAGACATCCCAGTAAGATCCCTAACCACTATCATTATCCCAACCCCAGCACAGTAGTGGGTGACACAGGAAACATCCCACACATAGAAAAAAGGTTGTCTAAATCTGAGTAAAGTGAAATAAAGTAAAAAAAAATATCCTGTCCCATCCCACTCCTGTAAAAGTTGTTCCAACTCTTATCCCTCTTCTGGTAAAGAATAACTCCAATGTCAGCACAGGTTTAAGAAAACAATAAAAAAAAAATGGTGGCTCCTTTTTTACGCTTTATCTGTTGTTCTTTTCTTTGGGGAGTTTGAGGGGGAAAGTATTTATTCTGCCTGATTTGTTTAATCATGATATTTTTAAACCTTTTGTTAATGAAGTCATTAAAATCCACAATTATCTTAAATCTTATGCTTGTCTGCCTGTTCTTTTTTTTCAAGCTTGTTTAAACATTTTATCCACATGTAGGCCAGTTTAAGCCACCTTTTTATTAAACCATTTCCAATTTTTGTGAATAACAATTTGTACTATTATTAAAACTACGTTTAGGTAGAGCTACTTCTGTACTTCTGGTTATCATTGTGTCTGGAAAAAAGACTAATAAAGACATCCCCACGCTGTAGCCCTTCACCCTTCGTCTGTTGCATTATATCAGACCTGATGCAAATCACAACATTTGCAAACAGTGAGGGGACGGGTGGAGAATAAGGGCTGAGCTGAAAATAGCAGAAAGAGAATTAGGGTTGAAGTCAAAGTTTTATAGAGTAGCCCAAAACAAAGCCTTGATTTGGCTTAAAAAACAAGCAAACTGAACTGGAAGAACGGGTCCGCCCCTTAGGTATGGGGTTGAGGTCTTTTGTTAGCCTGCAATACCTGATACCAACCTATGCCTCAGAAAGGGCAGTCGTTAGGGGCAATTGTTGGCCTGGCTGACCAGGGGAGATATTTTGGTCCCCTACATGGGGGTGGGGGGTTAAAATGATAGCAGAAAGAAATCAACTGTACCTCTGCATTGTAGGTTTTTGAAAGCTGGAACCTGAGTCCACCCCCTCTGTTTAAGGTAATTTCCTTAATTTATTGAGACAGCACTATGCTGTGTATATGGAATATCTAGTAAATATTAGATACCACAAGAAACTGAAATAATGTTCCTAGATACACGGATGGCATAGGGTGTGCATACTATACACATAGTCCATCTAGGGATTGCAAAGGTGGAAAGAGTACAAAATAAATTTGTTATTGAGTAAAAGTAACTTTATTTTGCCTAAATTCTACTTAGAGTAAAAGTAAAATTACTCATCTCAAAATGTACTCAAGTAAAGGTACAAAATTACTTCATTTAAAATGTAATTTGAGTAAAAGTTACTTAGTTACTTTGAGTTATTTAATGCAAAAAAGGATGAGTCATGAATCAAATTGAGCACAAGGTGTTTTAATCGATTTCAAGGCGTATTTCAGTGGACATCCACACTGGCAAAAGATCAGCTGGGCTAATCCTACTGTCCAACAGACAACACCATGATAGCAATAAAGAAATTTAAACTACATTTTGAAGTATTCAAAATGCACACAAAATTAATTGCCCAAAAGATACCAGAAATCAAACTAAAATGCAACAGGATCCCACTGTTATTAAATAAAATGCCACAGGATCCCACTGTTCACAATAAAGCAAAATTCTCACAGGATCCAACTATTTAAAAGAAAGTGCTTACAGGATCTAACTTCAAAATACAGTGTAAACAGGAACCCACAAAACTGCCCCGAATCTACAACTTTAGACTGATAAAGCTCTTGTTCAATTTAATCTGCAGCTGATTTTCAAAGTTTTTTGCTGTAGGTTATGCTCTCTTTGCTGTGAAGAGCAACCCGGCTGAACTAAAAAGCCTCTCACAGGCATCTGAGGCTGGAAGGCCTGTTCTGAGCTTAGAGACAGCTTTTTAATGTTCAGGAAGGAGTTCAGCAGGTCCATGCTGAACATGAAGTTCACAGAACACCAGAGAGAGATGGGGGAAGGAACCGGATGAGTGCGAGCAGGAGGAACTTCAGGAACTTCAGGTCCATGCTGAAACCATCATAACATTCTATTTCATTTATCGCCACATTAAGAAAACATACCAATACCTGTAATGCTTGCATTCCCAGCTCAATCATACTTTTAATACTCCGAACTAGCTAATTCTAAGCAACTAACCCCCACATGTTTTCGTAAATAGGATGTTGATGTTTTAAAAGCCAAAAGCTCAGTTTGGCTGGGCAGGCAAATGTTGCACTGCATTATCACATTGTTCCATTTTGTGCATTTGAAAACAAATAATCCATCCAAATATGGTCAAGGGTTTTTCTGGCTTTTGTCTCCAGAATGTGTTTCCTCTTCGGGTCTTTCCTCATCCATACTCTCTACGTCGTGATTAGCAAGTACCATCTTCCAAAGCGCAGCACTGGATTATGAGACAATACAAAGAGTAATAGCAAGGCAGGGCCACGCATTAAGTTTTGGTTCCGTAACAAAGGGGTTTAAATTTCCGGCCGCATTTAGTTTTTTAACCATCAGTATTTTTTTTTTTTATGCAGCGAAGTAAAACTACTTAGGTTAAAATTTACTCGAATAAAAGTAAAAATTACAGATGTCAAAAACTACTGAGAAAAATACTAATTACTTGTAAAAAGTACTCAATTACAGTAACGTGAGTAAATGTAATTCATTACTTTCCAACCATGAGGGATTGAAACTCTGCAGCATGTCTTTACCCTCTCTCTCTCCACTTCATATCCTGCTTATGAAATGTGAAATAAAAGATAGCCTACCGAAAGAGATCCATAAAAACAAGTAGGCTTTACGTTCTGCATAAAAAGCAACACAGAATGTCTAATGAAAAAACGTATTTAATATCAAAAGACCCAGTTAAAGATCCTCGAACATTCTTAGGCTACGTTCACACTGCAGGCCTTAATGCTCAATTCCGATTTTTTTGTGAAATCTGATTTTTTTGCGTGTCCGTTCACACTTCCAAGCATATGCGACTTGTATGTGATCTACTGTGTGAACTGAAAGTGTTCAACCGAAGTGTCCCGCATGCGCACTCGAGGACGCGATGACGTCACATGTAGCAAGCGTTCTCAGTGTTTGCGGAAGTAAACATGACTCGTAATACCGCAGCGTATATTGCGTTCTTTAAGTTCTTCTCCAACAGGAGCAGGCACATTACGAACGAAATCTTTTTAAGAAGATCAAAAAGAAAGACCCGGTTCCGGTAAGACCCTTCGAGTTTGGTCTGAATCGAGCTATCTTTCCAAATATGAATTAAGTCAGCAACCTCACTTTCTCTCCATTGACTGCTCCCTGTTTTATCTTCCGCCATGGTTGTTAGTTTTTCCCGCCTCCGCTTAGTAGGACGCAGATTAGTAACGTTTAGTAACATTTGTCAAGTATCAATGACGTGTAGGTCGGGTGAATGCGACCTGGCCGTACAGACACAGGTCGCATTTGAAAAGATCAGATACGT